TGTTGTTTTTGTAAATTATTTAAACGTTTAATTTGTTCTTTTTTATTTCTAGCAACAAAATCAATTCTTTTCTTAAGTTCTTCACGTTCATTAATAAAACGTTTAGCATGTAATTTAGATTTATAATGTTCAATATGTCCTTCTGTTAATATATGACTTTCTTGTCGAAAATCTTCAGGTAAGCGTTTTAAATGCTTTTCTAATGTTTTTATATAATTTCTACATATTTGTTGAATATTATTTTGTAGTTGACGATTTTCATCATCAAGTTTTTTAATATCATTTAAATATGTTTAAAGATTTTCATTAAGATTACGAAATTTTTCTGTTTGTAAGTTATATGTAAGACGTGATTGTTCAATTCGTGAAAAAATCTCATCAAGTAAATGATCTTCGAAGAAATTGAACATGTCGATTAAATTCAAAAATAAACATGAATAAAATATTGAATATACTAGAATTCTTTCTTTCCATTAAACCTTTTGATTTTTCTGTTTTTATAAGAAAGAAAAAAAAGGTAAATGTCTCTGATGTTTAATATTGCATTTTTTTTCTCTTTAACTAAAAAAACAGGATATAAATAAGCATCTTATGTAAACCCTTTAGATAAATTCTAGTTCAATACACAATGTATTTTTTTTCTTAACTGAGAAGATAATTTATTATCCATTTCGAATTATAATTATTCATATTGCTTATATTTTAAGTATCGTTTTCTACACTTGATTAATTGCAAAAAAAAAATTTTAAGTTTTAACTATATATTGTTATTATAACATAAAGTTGTCAATGTTTTTCAATCATAATCGATCTAACTCACCGAAGAATTTCATATATCAAAACGTTCTAACCGAAAGTGAGATACTAACCATACATTCTTGACATGGAATAGTTCACATAATCTATAAAAAAAAATCCTAGTTTAAAAAAATTAATACGCATTTTGAACAGCGATTTTTCTTTTTAGCTAAAAGTGACTTGCTTTTCCTTTCCTTTACCGAACACTTTTTTCTTATGAAAGAATAAATGTGGAAACCTCGGATTTAAATCCGAGAGTTATGTGTACTTCAAAAAGTGAATGAGGCAGATGAGTCATCCTAGAATGTGGAGACATAAAAATTATCCTGGCAAACTTTTTCTATAAACACTTGATTTCTATTGGCTACTGCTCAACCAATAGGATTTGGGGTAAATACAGCTCAGATTTGAACTCTTCGTCTTGATTTACCCTAAGAAAGTCTTTTTTCCTATAACTTGATTGCTATTGGTTACTGCTCAACCAATAGAATTTCGAGGCGAATGGAGCACATATTCGAGTTCTCCACCCCAGAAAACCTCGCACTATCATCTGTATGATCGGAAGATAGAGCTCTAATTGTAGATCAATTAGAGCGTGGACAAGAACAAAACCAAATTCCGTTTAATTATCTTTGCAATAGGTGAGTTAGCTTTCTTGTTTCTTTATGTTTTATATACCATTTTGTAGCTCGTGAAATTCTCTATCGAATGGTATATAATAGTTGGGGTTTTATTTAACTATGATAGGAAAAGTTGTTTACGAAAGCTGGGATCGGTCGATTTTCGCATAGGAAGCCATAGGGAAAAATGACTATTTTTGCAATAACTCACGAATGGCTCGGTCGATCATGCTCATCTTCGAACTCGACCGAGATATTGTTAAGACTAAACTGTGTAGAAAATTTCATCGTGATCGGACTCTCCTTTCAAAAGTTATCGTGTTAACGGCCGGACGGCCGGCCGGACGGCCGGACACACTGACCGATTCTAGAGTGTACTCACTTTTTGAGTACACAAAAAGACGTTTTCTTCTCTCTTTTTTTTCTTTTCTCGTTCAGGTTATTAGCCTGGAAAAAAACTGCAACCTATCATACTGCTAACATTAACACAAGGGAATTTTTAACTAAATGCACATGCATTATATGGTCTAGATGCCATTATATTAGCATAGTGTACATAATTAGGGTGTGGCTGTGGGTGTAGGTGTTTCAAGAACGTTAGCCACATCCACACCCACACCAACGTATCCACACCCTTCCTTTGAAATTCTATGAGACACCTAGTTTGCTTGTAGAGCCGTTTTGTAAAACATAATTACATCCTTGGGAAAAATCTTTTTCTTTCGTTCCAATCACTGACTCATTTTTCTTTCCGAGGGAGGGAGAATCTTTTACAAGAGATACATTAGAAAAAAACACAAACCTAAGTTATGTGACTGTTCTTTTTTATAAAATCTGCAATCACTTTTAGAATACACACTAATGAGGGAACATTCCCAACTGTCGAACGTGTTTGAGCCCATATTTTGGTTATGAGTAGGACTCAACGAAACTAAGAAAATTCTAATCAGGAGGTGGGTGTAGGTGAGTGTAGCTGTGGCTGTAGATAAACACACGAATCACACCCACACATCCATTTCCAAGGGTCCCAATAAATTGATCAATGAAGTCTTTTGCTTGTGACAATAATTACCATGGTTTACAGTCATACACAATTGTAATGCAGTCTTTGTTAAATGAATGAAAGACGACTCGTTTACGATCGTCATTCTAACGTTCATGGTTGTTCATGGTAGTGTAAACTGTCGTGTGCTGTCCCTACGGCTGGCTATTTAGGTTACCAAGAAGAAAATTACATAAAATGTAATGTAAATTGTCTTCTCTATGCATGGGAACGGAAATCAAATACTGAAACAATATTCGGAGACAGAAACAACATATTCTTTCCGAGAATGGAAATGGGAAACAGGAATAGAGAAACGTTTGTCTCTTAGGAATTTGATTATTACTCTCTTTTCTTCTGGGAAAACTTTTTACGAGCAAATACTTGTGAGTCATTGTAACTCTATAAATTTATTGCGATTTTAGTGTAGCATTGTATTTCATCCCGTAAAGCACTAACAACATTTCTACATTGCTGTTTATGATAATATGTCATCCAATATTCGATTATTATCCATTGTGGCCGGAATTATGCTAGGTTTAAGTTCTGCATGTTTTATTGTCAGTAATGCAGTTCCTGAATGGTATGTAGTAACACGAATGTTTTTGTATCAGTTACTTTCCAAGGAGAACAGTTAATTATATGAGGTTTAAACGTTGTTAGTAGAATCCTGCAAGCTTAAGATGTAAAACACTATGCAGTTGTTGTTGGTAATCAAACAGAAAGTATTTTATTCTGCATATCTTGAGATACATTACATGTTTTTCCAGTTTAATCATCTAGAATTGCAGTAAATGGTTCGCGAATTCGAATGAAATGTTATTGGTATACGTTATGCAATAGTTTGCAATTAGAATGTGTCATGGTTGAGGGTGCGAAGGCAGGTTCATATTTCCACTTTGTATCTTCCATAGTTCCTATATACTATTTTTCAGAAAAAAAATAGAAGAAGACCAACAAAGCAAAATATAAGTCTTATTAAATTAAATACTTCATATTTTCTAGGGGTAAATACAAAATAATTGGTATAGAAAGCACAATTGGTCTTTGGCAATATTGTGCTTTTGTGTCGAATGTAAAGACATGCCAGAGCATCTCATCTGAGTTAGAGAGCATTGATGCTGATACCTACCACAAAATTCGAGCTGCTGAAGCTTTTGTTACTCTAGCTTGTATTATGTCTGGTATTTCAACGTGCTGTCTGCTTGCATGTGCATTAATGGGTGATAATGCTCATCAAATATTACTCTGGACAAGCAAAGGTCTCGCTTTTTTTTCTTTTATCATGGGAACTGTTGGTATTGCACTTGGCATTTATGCTATTTTCATTAATCAACTAACTAATCAATCATTTACACAACTTACTATAACTCTTGGAGCTGCTTCATGTATTGGAATAGCTGCTATTGTCATTAATTTGGTTGGCGCTATTATTGCAGTATTCATGAGAAAGTAGTGATAAATGACAAAAAAAAGAAATGTTCATAGACCATTTGAGCAGTTATCTGTGAGATATATCTTTTAAAACCTTGATTTCCGTTCATTTTGTTCAGTTGATTTTGCTAATTAAACATCAAATAAACAAGAACGCTTCATTACATAATATTTCATATTATTCTGTTGAATATAATAGTGTACTGCGTGAGCGATAAATCCTTTTTTCTTATGATTGTTACTCTGGCAGAAATTATAATATTGTCATCACAACTATTAACTGTATTTTGGTTGATGTGGGTGGAAACGCCATTGATACAATGACAACGCTCATACTCCTTTTCAGAGTTGAGATAAACCATGAAATTTAAGTCATGTT